GCCCCCCGGGGGTGGGGGCCTCGGAGCCCCTAGCGTGGGTGGGATAAGGGAGTCCCCCCGCCTGCCACTGGCAGGCAGCTAGTGTTCCCCTCTGACCGTGGCCGTTCCGTTGCTTATGTGGGTGCGGGAATGTGAACCCTTTCTCGGAACGACTGTACGGTCACATTAAAGAAAAGCAATGACTTGGCTGTGCTGAGGGCTCTGTGGTGTCGGGCCGAAAGACAAGCAACCTCACTTCGCGGTAGATTTGCAAATCTTTAATATATTAAAACAAAACAAATCTGCTAGAAAATTCTGTTTATATAAAAAAATGCAACCCCCCCCCCACCCTTTTAAATACATTTTCTTTGGTTCTTTCCCCCCTGCTCCCTCCCCCAGTATATTGCAAGAAGCTCTGTTGATATGTCATTTGCTTGTAGTGTAAACAGACAAGGTAAGTGTAATGCAAAGCGTCTCGATAATACTGTCACAGTGCAGCAAGCGTACAGCAAGGTCAGCGTCAGCGAGAGTGCAGGCTGCGGCCTCAGCGTCGGATCCCCGTTGCGTTAAGTACAACGCATGTTTAACAAAGTAATTTTAATCATGGGAAAGTCTAACAAGGCGGCAGTACAAGCCCCCCGGGTATTTCAGCGAGTTGTGGCCTTTGGAAGGGAGGAAGAAATAGAGCGAAATCTTTAAGTGCTTTATAATCCATTAACTCCTGCAGCTCCCCACCCCACATCTGAGACACGGCATGGACGTTGACGTGGCTTGTGGCTGAATGCTAGCCCCCTGCGTGCCTTCGGGCACCTCAGTCCATAGCTAACCCTCCGGCCCCCAGGAGGTAGGTGAGCAGGGTTGCCCACTTGTACAGGTGCAGAGAGGTGGTGACTGGCCTCTAGCCAACAAGGGGAGGCTGTAGCGGAGCTGGGCTTGGCTTCCTGGCCAGCATGTCCCACTCTTCTAACCCTCCTTTTGATTTCAAGCGGGACAAAAGCAGCCAAGTTGGGGGAGCAAGACTAAGGTCCCGGGTCTGCCTGCTGACTACTGGAGTGAGGGCGAAATGTGTTCTGGGAACTGTGCCTCTCAGCTGACCTGTGGTCAGAACGCCTCTGGAAAGGCAAACCCACGTGCTGTGAGGGGAATGTGGGCCGGACCGAGGGCCGCCCTGTCCCCCACCCGCTGGCTGTGGGCCGGACCGAGGGCCGCCCTGTCCCCCACCCGCTGGCTGTGGGCCGGACCGAGGGCCGCCCTGTCCCCCACCCGCTGGCTGTGGGCCGGACCGAGGGCCGCCCTGTCCCCCACCCGCTGGCTGTGGGCCGGACCGAGGGCCGCCCTGTCCCCCACCCGCTGGCTGTGGGCCGGACCGACCCAGGGGCTACTGATGTGCTGTTTGCCCCGTTTCTATAGCAGCAGGCAGAGCGAGGCTCCGGGCACCCACCAAATAGGCACATGGGGTGGAATTGGCAGCAAATCTCACTAACAAAACAGGAACATGAAACTTACTGCTGGGGCCGTGTTTTGAATAGAAACTTTTTAGGAGACATTCTTCTATAAACATTTGACATAAGGCTTCTTGTCCGCAACCGGCTCTGGGCCCCATCTGTATTTACCGTAAGAAGCTGCTTTATACTTTGCACTAGAAAGAGGGTACTTGATTTTCTTGGCTCTGCACTTGTTTTTCCAGTACAAGTACCAGCCCTTTTAAAAACATGGGAAGGCGGAGTGGTGTGGCTGTACACTTAACTCATTCCGCTTTCCTGTGTGCTGGTGTAACCGTGTGGCATCTGCACACTCACGCCACTCGGATAGCAAGATCCTTTTGGCTGGACAGAATCACTCCTGGTCCATCGAATGTTCTTTCCTCGTGGCGCTAGACGGAGTAGACTCTGACTTGTTACTGGCATTACATGGTTTGCTCCAAGAGCAAAACTGCCCGTTCTGTACATGCTGAACGGGATTTAAGGACAAGTACCTTTATCTGCCCAGTTCTTTGGTTCCGTGCCTCCCTTCTTGAGTGGCTAGCAGGGCGGCTCTCCCCACTTCCACACCTGCTATACAAGACTGAAACATCTTTCACGCCGAATGTAACTTCTGTAAAAATAATGCCCCCACTTTTCCAGTCACGGCAGCAAACAACCATTTTGCATAGCATGGCCCTCTGAGGTTCCTGAACCTTGCTCGGGAGCAGTTTTCTTGCAGTGATTTAGTGTCTGTCAGATGCAGACGATTTGAGCTGTTTCTTATCTCACCTCTGGTTCATTTTTCACTATGGCTTTTACTTTGGTAGCTCAGTAACCCACAGGGCTAAATATACATCTGTTGTGAAGATCTTTGCGATTTCATGCTCTTTCTGAAAGCGTTTTCAGTGAGGCTGAAACAGACACGTCTCTCCGGCAGCATCTTCCCCTGAAGGAGCTGGTTCTGAGTGACCAAAACGCGTCGCTCGTGTAACATGGAGGCGCTTCCATCAGCTACCGGCCAGTCCACGCATATATACATCCAATAATATAGATTTGAAAAATAAACACTTTTCTTCGGTATATTTATAAAATAGCTGTAGATTCAGTCTCTCCAGGCATGCAGAAGTGATTAATAAGATTGTTCCTCAGCAGCCTGCATGGCTGTGATTGTCTGTCGCCTTAGGATCTCAGCGCTCCGGGGTCCCCCGCCCATGGAGAGTCGGCTGTGCTGGGCTCTGACTCTCCATTACCAGCGCCCGGGGGGCTGCACCGCACCGCTCCCTGCCGACTGCCAGAGGATTAGAACAGTCTGGACAGGAGCGCCCAGCCGCTGGAGTGCGGGTCTGTGTTGACACACCTGGACGCTGTCTGAAGGTTGCATGCGACCTGAACGCGCCATCCCCCGGTCCCCCAGGCCCCGGCCGAGCGTGCGGAGGACCACGCTAGGAGACTAGCTGCCCGGGCCCTTCATGCCTCACACCGTCGTCTCGCTCTTCCAGAGGCCCGTCTTCATGCCAGCCGTGCTCTCCGCGCCGGGGAGGGTTATGTCGTACTTGCTGCCTTTCAGCGCCCCGTTCTGGCTGGCCACGTTGAGCGGGTAGGAGCGCCGCTTCGTCTCCTTCTCAATGGCGTGGGCCTGGCGGAGGTTGTCCCTGCTGGCGCTTCTCCTCTGAGCTCTGCTGAAGTCGGGCACCTGCTGGCTGCTGCTGCCCCCGTCGCTCGCTTCGGACTGGCTCAGAGCAGCCTCCCCGTCCTGCGCCGCTGCCGCCCTTGGCCCCAGGCGGCTGTTGTTCAGGGGGCTGTTGCGGCTGGCTGTTCGGGATGCTCTCGCTGGAGGGGTGGTCTGCAGCAGGCCCCCGCAGCGCCTTCTGGCGCTGGTGCTTCCCCTCCCGGTACTGCTTGGCTCTGCTCTTGTGAGCCCTGCGCCCCGCGTTGCTGGCGTGCCGGGCCGCCTGGGCGTTCTTGTTGTTGGCCGGCTCCGGTTCCTCGCAGCAGGCCGGCCGCGGTGCGGGGCGTTCGGGATGCTCTCGCTGGAGGGGTGGTCTGCAGCAGGCCCCCGCAGCGCCTTCTGGCGCTGGTGCTTCCCCTCCCGGTACTGCTTGGCTCTGCTCTTGTGAGCCCTGCGCCCCGCGTTGCTGGCGTGCCGGGCCGCCTGGGCGTTCTTGTTGTTGGCCGGCTCCGGTTCCTCGCAGCAGGCCGGCCGCGGTGCGGGGCAGCTCTCCGCCTGGCTCTGGGCCACCTGCAGGTTGGTGAGCTTGCAGGGGCCCACGGTGGAGTTGGTGCTGCTGGGCGAGGAAGAGGACTTGAGGGACTGAGCCACCCCAGGGCTGCACCCGATGAAGATCTGCGAGCCCTCCGCGGGGGCCATGCCCGGATGGACGAAGGCCTGCATGGGTAGCGCGTGCCGGTAGGACGGGCAGCAGGCAGCCCAGGAGCTCTGCACGTCGCGGCGCCGGGCACAGTGGTGCACGAAGATGAAGAGCCCCAGAGCCGTGGCCGTGGCCCCGTAGAGGCAGC